TCTAGTTGCAGTGTAGAGCGCAGTTTTTCAAACTATAACAATATTCTATCTAATGATAGACAAAATCTTAGATCATTCGAATTATTATTGCAGAATTATTACAAAATCTAAAGTATTAGTGCAGAATTACAAGTTTTTAATATTGCAGAATTTTTGCAGAAACTATATATTATTACAGACGGAATTTACCTTTAATCACCACAGAAAATCATCGTCCCTGATAACATGTTAAGATAAATACATGTGCACGTAGGATTTTTTTTGATAAGGGGATAACTCACAAAGTAATAATTTTGATAGGAATTAATCTTGGGAGCACAAAGTAGGAATTTTCTTGATTATTCAGTTACATTGCTCAAATAATAAACGGAACCTGAAAATAACGAATATCTCACAACAGAAGCAATATAGATAGGTAAAGGTAAGTGGGTTCAATTAATCAAATTTATAGTTTTTAATATATGATATTGCATTAGTCTCTATTATTTTAATAATGATAAATATTTTACTAATTTTTTAACTTTACATGCAATATAGCCGATTTGATGGAGATAAAATATGATATCAATAATCTAATAAAAGATTGCAAAAAAGCAATAAATTATTCGAATGGATTTCTTTTGAAAGTTTAATAACTTTGAATATCTTGCAAAGGGAGGTTTTGTGAAAACTTATAAATCAATTTGGTGGGCTGAGATCATTGTACAATTCAAAGCAAATTACTCCAGAGTTTATAAACGAGAAAAATGACATTTCTAAACTGAAAGCAAGTTTCTCTAATATAATCAAGTTATATTTATCTTATGGAATGACTAAAATCAACTACAAATTAATGTTAAAATATAATGATTTATGCAATAGATTGCTACCTTCGTAAATATATTAATTCCAACTACAAATAATAACTTGTAACGAAAATTACACTATCATTATCAAAAACAGTTTGCATATCGTCACTTTCATCCTGTAAATGTATTATTAATACGTAATTGTCCTCAAATTGCTTATTTTATGTAGAAAATATAACAAAAATTTGTGAAGACTTCCTCATATGAGTCCAGAGGTGCTAAATGGAAAGCCATACACTAATGTTGCAGACGGTTATAGTTTTGTGGTGGTTGTATGCGAGATTGTAACTAGATAGAAATACGTATATTTATTTTATATTCAATCAAATGACATTTCATATTGAGTGATGATATTTAGGTTCGACAAGTGTCGGTCTATACGTTTCAAACGAAGGTAAAATCACCATTACACCTTTAATTTAAAAATGATATAACTATGATTAGGAGCGTCAAACTGAATAATTTACAATTAAAGGGGTTCATTACCGTTCCAAAGGTTTCCCGTGGTGACTTATCTCGCGAAGGTTTCTGATGACCAACCACAAAAAATAAACGACAGGGACTTATTGACACATCCTGGTAATAGCAATTCAAATATGGTTCAGTTAACAAAAAACTAATCGTATTCACAAATAAAGATTGGACTTAATTCTGCCAACAAATCAATAGAAACTTTTATATATGAATTGTTTATGGTGAAGTTTCTCGATTACTTGAACAAAAGACAAGCTTTGAAGTTGATCAATGGAAATTAAGTAAAGATAAGTTGTTATTGATTAAGCATATTTTTCTTGGTTAAGATTATCTTTTTATACATTTTTCTAATTATTAACAACTCTCATAATTATGAAAGAAAATACAGTATCGGAGAAAATTTATGATTACACACAAAGAAAAATACTAAAAAAAATAAAGAAAATGTGTAAGAAGAGACAAAAAATACAAAAGCATGAATCTGTAAAGACAAACTGAGTTGCATTAATATCAGCAGCAACTTTTCGCGTAAACAAACTCTGAAAGTTCGCGGCAACCTTTTGACTGTTGATTCGGATCGAATCTCGTGGTTCGAGAAGATGTGGCGAATTATATCCTCAGTTTTGTAACCAGCTTTTAATAGGATGTTGCCAGTATCGTTTGTCCCTAATATATGATTTAGAAGTGTGATACTTTATAGTTTTGTACCAGCTGCCATCAAAAATGTCAGAAACCATGATCCAATAAATGTAATAATCAATTTATCAAATACATATCATTGATGATCGGGGTGTTTACGTAAAACCCGACTAATTTATTTATAAAAGGTTTCATTCGTCTCATTTGCTTTTCTCCTTACTTTCTTCAATATTTTCTTTTCTTTTCTTTTACTTACTTCTTTACTCATTTTTTGTCTGTTCACTTTTGCTTGTTAGCTTTATCCTCCCTCGCTCTTGTTTACTCGCACACACTTGCTATCTCTCGCCTGCCTGTGCTCTCACATTCACATCTTCCGCCACTGCCGAAACATGTCACGGCAATTTTTTTGGACAGATCCAGATCACGCAAACTGCATCACCATTTTTACAATGATGGATCCCATTTATTTAAATGGAGCATGTCTTCTCTTTCAACTCATAATAAATAATGACTTTCCAATTTGATTCTTTAGAATATTTTTTACTAAATGAACTGCGGGACAAAATCTCTATCTCTAGAGCTTTACACGAGCTTTGGAGCCATAGCGGTATACAAACAGTAGAAGATGATTGTGGCCTTCTATTAGAAATAATAGAAGACTTAACAATGGAAGAAAATCTTGATAATGAACGAAAGCAGCATTTAACCTCATTACAAGATATCGAAAAGGAGTTAATTTATTAACATATTAATAAATTTTTATAAAACATGATGATAAAAAAATTGAGTTATGATATTCCTCGTCAAACTGTGAATCATTTGCGAGAATTTTCATCCTTGCATTACTAAGATGCAAGGGTGATCTTTGTGAGAAGGTTCAGTTTTGTATTACGGTATGCAGAATGATAAGTAAGCGGTGATATATTATTTAGTGATGATGAGGTTGTGATGCAAGCAAATGCATATATATAATAATTATTTATATATTCAAAGTAAAATTAATCTTTATAAAATATAATACAAAAGATAAATTATAGTACAAATAGTATAAAATAAAGATCTAAATTAAAAAGAATAATTTAATTAAAATTATTATATATCTTTCTACTTAAAATAAAATATTTTTATTATATTTTTTCTACTTAAAATAAAATATTTTTGTTATATTTAGATATGTAAATTTTTAAATTTATCTTTTTCATAATATTTTTCAAGTTGTTTAGATAATATTATATAAAATATATTCAAGTTATTTAACAAAATATTGGAATTTATAATAATAAATTTTTTTATCAATAATATTTTTAACTTTATATTTTTCTTTATTATCTAAGATAATGATAGCTAGTAATAATATATATTTATTGAATTTATTAATAAATTTAATATAAAATTAATTAGTAAATAAAAAAATATAACTATATTAAAATGTGACTATATTGAAAATAACTATAACAAGATATAATTATATTCTTAATTTGATAATTAATATAGTAATATATATATATTATATATTATATTATATATTAATCTAATATATATTTAATAAATTTATTTTATATAAAATTAATATTTAATAATTTTTATTATAAAAAATATTATTTTATAAAAATAAATTACTTAACTTAATATTTACTTTAAATTAAAAAATTAATAATCTTTTAGTTGAATAAATATTTTTAATTATATATTTCTCTTTTTAAAGATATATATATATATATAAAATATAATTTAATACATCAAATAAATATTAATAGATTATTTTTCAAAATAAAATTTTAATTCTATCTTATTTAATAAAGTTATTAGATATTAGAATTATTTAAATGTAAAATTTTTTATTATATATCTTTTATAAAAAAAATTTTACTAATATAAATTTTTTGAATTATTATTTCTTAAATTTTACTATATAAAATTTAATTGAAATTAATATAAAAATTATATAGTAAATAATTTAATTATTAAATCTTGAATTTTAATATCTTTATAATTACTAATTCAATTTTTATGAAATTTAGAATATATATTTATTAAATCTAGAACAATCTGTTATATAGTTTAAAGTTTTAATATTACAAATTAATAATAATTATATTAATACTTAAATAATTTGAATAAAATTTAATTAGTAAATTAATTATAAAATATTTTGTTTAGAGATCAATTTTGATTATAAAATAATAATATATTAAAAATAAAAAATAAATTATTATATTTATTAATATTAAATATATTAAATTTTATTAAGATTTTTATGAAGATTGATAAAATATAAATAAATAATAATGTTAATTTTAATTAATAAAAAAATAATTATTTAATAACATAATTTAAATAATATTTAATTTAATTAATAGATTTATTCCAAATAAAAAAATTACAATTAAATTTTTAAAGAAATGCATAACTTAATATACAGAAGAAAGAAAGTCTTTATTTTGTTAAAAAAATAAATATATATTATATAATTATTAAGAAAAGAAGGAAGAATCTCAAAAATCTCATTTTCTATATAATCAAAATAATTAGTTAATTGAATATAATAAAAATTTTATCTTTTATATAATCAAAATAATTAGTTAATCAAATATAATAAAAATCTTATTATTTACATAATCAAAAATAATTAGCCAATTAAATATAATAAAAATCTTATCTTGAGAGAGAGAAGTTAATTCTATAATAATTACATATTATATAATATATATTTATTTCCTAAATATAAAAGAATTAATATAAGTTTTTAAAATAATTTTTTTTAAATTACATATTATTTTTCTTCCAGATCTTTTAAATCATTGAATTAGTTTTATGTATACTTCTAAATATTATTTGATATTATGTTTTATTCATCTTTTTCTGAAATTAAATTCTTTTATATTAGATGAAAACCAATATAAATCTGATATTTAATATATTTTTACGTGATGTGTGCAATTTGCAATTGGTATTATTACAAAAAGCAGGAATCAATTTAATGTTAATAATAAGAAGTTTTCAAGATTTTGTTAAAATATAAAATCAAGAGAATATTAATAGTTAAACATGATTTAATTATATTGATTTTGATGAAAAATTGCTAATTTACCAGTTCTGTTAAATCAGCTAGTTATTAAATCAAGCCCTAATTTTTTTATATAAGAATAAAATAAAGATAAATCTATTTACACTAAAAATTAAATTCAATAAGTTAGAATGTAATTCATTTTTTTTTACATTACAAAAGTTAGGATTAAACTTAAGCGTTTGAGATTCAAGTTATATGTAAAATTTTATTCAGGTTTGTTTTGCGAATGGTTTGAAGAAAATATTACTATAGCATTTAACATTAATAAATTCTTGATAAAATAGTACAATAAAAATTTTCAATTCCTTGACAATAAATTTGAATTTTGTGTTAATACAAGAATTAATCCACAATTTTCTTGTCAATGTTTATCGTTGCTTTAAATTAGGTATGATAATTTGCATCACTAAATGGACGATCTGAGCTTTTTATTACATATACTTTATTTAAACCATTTATGAATTGCTAATTTTTAAAATTGCACACTACAAGTAAAAAAAAGAAGAAGAGAGGGATACATTTTTATAGGGAACAAAAATTTGCTTTGGGAAACTGAATTTGATGTGAAGGATATATAGAAAACTTAAAAATACTGCATGCTACTTTTACTATTTCTCTCAAGAAAGCATAGTTTGCATTGATATAAAGAAAAAATTGTTATAACCTAAATTAGAGTATTTATCATGTCATGTTTCATAATAAGAATTGTATTCTTCTGTAAACTCGTACATATCCACCAAAAATCCAGCGGATTGAAGCCTTTTCATTCTTCTTCAAATTTGTACTTACTCTTTTTAACTTCTTTATTTCTTGATTGACGTGATGAGAAACCATAAGAAGTGGAAGAGGCCCTCGGATTATCAAGTTCGGCAGACTTGCGCTTATTCCTTTTAACTTCATTATTTCTTGATTGACGTGATGAAGTAGAAGAGGCCCTCAAATTATCAAGTTCGTCAAGTTCGACAGACATTTTTCTGAGAAAACCCATCAGCGTGCCATAAACGCGAGAATTGAAACGAATATCGTCATATTTTTGACGTACATACTGCTTCATCGACACAATATAGTGTTGATATTGCCCGATAGACAATTCAGGATTTTTTGCGATCATATAACAAACAAAGACGAACTCGATTGGTGCTAGTCGGTGAGGCTGATTGATGAGTTCTTTATCGGCGTTGATCAACAAATCGAGCATCCTGAATACGTGTTGTGTAGTCTCGCGCAATCCACGTGGCACATTTCGGTCTAATTTCAGGTAATTGGCAATAATGGTTGAAGTTGATCGAAAGTTGAGTGGTTCGGTTTCGATCATATGCAATGACTGAGTAATTAGTTGGAAAGCACGTCCACGGTGTTTATCGAGAATACAGGCTAAGGAAGGATAAGTGGAGAAAATTTCATGTGCATAGTCAGATATTGGGCTAGAAATCGCTTGTAATTTCTCTAATATAAAGAATTATTTTTAGAAATAAATTTTTTGCTCCGATAAAAATAGAAATTAAGAAGATGAAGAATGCAAACCAGCTGGCGTAAGAGGCATTCCGAGCTGAACACGACTAAATAGTTCTTGCTCTTGATTCGGAATTAAGTTATAGTACTCAACTACTCAAAAACAATACAAATGAATTTTGTTATCTGAGAAGAATAATTAATTGATCCATTAAAATAAATGCAAATTATTTCTTACCACAGACAAATTCTGAGGAATCAAACATTTCTCTTTCTAGCGGTGTTAGAATTCTAGGTTTTCCACTTTTTGATTTTGAATAATAACTTTTTTCTTTTGATTTATTAGATGGATTTACATGAGGAATCTCATTATTAATAAATCTAAAAATCATACAAAATGAATTAAAAAAAATTAATAGAATTTTAACTTGATTAATCATTAAAAATAACTAGTTTTTATATTTTCTTATACCTTTTAATTGATATGAGTCTTTGTTTTCCATCAATACATACTCGCATGAAGCGATTGTCATCAAGTTTCTTACATGAAAAAATAATGGGTGGAATATAAAAATTATTCAAAACTGAATCAATTAGATGACTTTGTTTAGCATCTATATAAAGAAAAAATTAATAGAATAATTAGTCAATAAAAAAAATATATTTACAAAATTCAAACAAATAAAAATATACCTGTCCAAACAGCGTCTATTCAAAAATGTGTCAAGAAAAAGAAGAAAATTTAAAATAGTGAATATGGAGCATTTTCTTTAATAAGAATTTAGCAACTCTCATTTATCAAATATAATAGCAAACCTCTTTGAAACTCAGGCGTAAGATCAATTATGCCTATTTCAAGCCAACTATATAGCTTGTATAATGTATGAGTAACATTTTTGGGTTTTTCAAGTTCTTGATCCATTTTGCAAAGAAATAATTACAAACATATTAAAAAACAAAAACTATAATTCTAAGTAAACCTTACTCTTATATTGTAAGAGAAAATACATTAATATATTATCATGCATGATATAAATATACGCATAATACAAATATACGTGTTTGATGTGATATTATATATGATATACATGTATATGTATTTCGAGACACGTAACTATATAAAATTTGCTGCCGCAAGTCTTTGATAGAGATGCACACATTTATTCAATAAAAATAATGATATTTCAGATTAGTTTTAATATATCAAGTATTTAGATTTTACAAATGTTAGTTTGTATGTTCAAATGAAGATAAAAAACTTATGTTTGATATTATTGTTTTCATAATTTCTTTTATTCATTAATTTATTTTCTTTGGTGGTAAAATTCCACAGGGAACATTTTTTGTTATAACACAAATAGTAGTTTCATAGGCGAGATACAGGCACAAACCATTTTACGTTGATATAACGTCTAGATGTGAATAATTCCAAAATTTTGAAAGTCACTCAGTATATCTTCAATATCAAAATCTGTCTTTTATTATATATTTCTGTGAGCACTAACTCTAACCTTAACGAAAACGCTAAGTTCATCCAATAAAATATCAGCGCGATCGAGTTGGTATTTTTTGTTTCGGCTAGCCGGGATTGAAAAAGGTATGACCTTTGGACTTATTTAAAATTCACCATTGATTTCCGCCTTAATGGTCAAATGGTCTGCCGCATCGCTTGAAAGTGACTCTACAAAAGGGCGAAATTTGAAGATGGTTAGTATGATCCGCTTGTTATTTGTAAAAAATATTCTGCTCATCATTTTTTCTAATAGCTTAAAGTGAGCTTCGTAGCTACTGTCCTAAGGATGTCTGTCTCGTCTTTTCTGTATCATAAGACATTGGTGTATTCATTGAAAACTTTGAAATAGCGACTGAAAATATCTCCAGAGGTGGCATTTAACACTAGAAAAGTAATGCGTGCAGCAGAGAAAAGCTATGCGTTAGAAATTACCCGCGCAAACAATATGAACAAATGCTTCGCACCTATCTTTGGACCACTACATAGAATTCTTATTTAATAAATCCAAATCAAATAACTACAGATATATTAAGTATTATAATTAAAAGTAAAGCTTAATATTAAAAACTACTCTAATAGAATGACTTGTCCAATTCATTCTCCCCTTCATTGTCGTCTTTATTTTTTCTCTTCGTTTTCATCATTCTCTTCGATCTTCTTAACGACATCACAATATAGAAACCAAAACTCATGAAACCCGTGACTACAGAATACCGTATTACATATATATTCTATGTCATATCAACGTATTGGGATTCAGATATTTTATTATTGTACGCCTCGCAATCATAACTAAAATTGAAACATTTTAATAGAAAATTTATGAGGATAGTTTACAACACAGCATAACTGAATAAATGTACCTTAATATGACACAAGAATTGAACGGATAAATCAGGGAATTAACGTGAGGTGTTTGTTATTGCTGGGGTATATAATTGTAAAATACATGTAGCAGGAACTTATGTGTCATTTTGGTTGCTAAATGAACGAAGAGGTTCGTAACTTTAGTGGTTTCGGTAGCATGGGGTAGATAAGAAAAGGAGAGTCCATTTATGACATACGGCGCAAATTAAATTTGGAAAATCACAGTTATTATAAAGTAATGAAAAATTACTTAAAGCGAATGTGTTTATACATGTATAGATAAATTCCCCCACTGTTTGCCAAAGTTCCTTTTAACGCCGTCACACAAAAAATATATTCAGGCGTTGAAATTGCCTCGAAAAAGTCTCATCGTGATTAAAAAATCTGGGTCACCAGATTATTTAGTCCAGAAATTTATTATTTTTTAACGAATCATACCCTCTAAACTTGGCAAATTTTTATTTCCTATATTTAGCATTAGTATATCTTTGTTAGATAAACATTTATATTGCATCCAAAGCGTTGTATCTTGAAACTACTTTCTATGTTCCAACAAAAATTGTTTCTCCCGAAACTTTGCAAGTGCGATAAAATAATCAAAGTGCTATATCGATATTTTTGCAATTTATTATTTGATCCTTAAAGAGCAAATGATTCGCACTTACAAAAATAAAAAATTGATTTTGTTAATCATTTACATTATGCGTCTGTAAAGTACATTAATGCAGCGGCATTAATTCATATTGGAGGATCAATAGAATATAAGGATTTATGATCACAAGTGACTCGTAAAAAAATTATTGAATGATAGTTTGAAAAACTTCTTTTCTTGACTATCTTTCTACTCCACTAAATACCAATAAAAATGACGTCCTCCAACGCAAGAACTCCTATTCAAAGAACGTCAGCGGCAAGTTCCTCGTCAACCAATAAAGTTTTATGTCTCTGTAAAAAACCAGCGGTTAAATTTCAGGTCAAGAAGGAAGGTCGAAATAAGGTCGTTGGTTTGACAGGTGCTATAATGCAATTAATCATTATATCGAAAGAACCGGAACAGCTTGTAATCTTTACAAGTGGGAGAACGAACTGGAAACGGATCTTATGAAATCACCTGCTGTTTCCGCCGACTCTGCTACCACTTCTGGATCGATGACAAATGATCCATTGACTCCACCAGACAATCATGGTTATCATCATCAACCGAAGCAACACGAACAAATTTATAATTATCGTCCACTAAATAATAACGGTAAAAAACAAACACCATAACATCAGCAATCGCAATATGATAGTTATTACAGATCTTCATATCATCATCAAGATTTTTCAAATCACAAGAATTTCCAGCTCATCATCCATCCGAATATAGTCAGGCAGAATATTCTTCTCGTCAAGAACAACAGCTTCAACATACTCGAAGAGAAGATGAAGAATTCTAGACAACCGCGCCAGAAGGGTCAATCGACAATTTTTTTATGCAGAATTCTTCGTCAGCGCATATTTACGAGAATGGCTCAACCACAACTAATGAATTGATTCCGCTTTCACCTTCACCAGCACCGGATCCGATTAAGATGTTAAAAGAGAGGTTAGGAAGGGAGACTCGCATTTTTGAGCAAAGTGCGAAATTCAAAGCAAATTTACTTGCAGAAACAAGGAGCAATTGGCATCGGTAGAAAATGAAAATGAAATGTTAAAAACTCGATTGGAGATGACGGAGAAGGAAAATAAAAATTTGAAAAGGAAGTTGGAGGAAACGGAATGATCAAATGAGGAGAATCAGTATTTGAAGAGGAGGTTGGTGGAATTGGAGAAGGGAAAAGAGTCCTCTTCATTGTGTTCATCTACACTTAAATCCGAAGATACCTATCAAGATGAACAAGAAGAAAAAGAATATGGAAATTAATGGAGGAGAGCTTAATGATAAGGCTGCAGAGGTGGATTGTGGGTTTATTGTACTTGTGGCTGAAGATAGGCGCAGTGATGGTGGTGGTTGTACAACCGAGACATTGTACAAATTGAGTTTTGCGCTTATAATACGTTGAATTTTTGAAAATATTTACAAGTTGTAAAGTTTTTAGAGTGAAGAGAATTGGGAGTCAAGTTTAAAATAAATTTCGGTAAAGAAACTTGGAAATAATGTTCTATAAAAATGCATATTTCAGTTTTTTTCTACGGTTTGAAATTGGGTTTGATGAATGGGTTACATACTTTGTGGACGATCCGCCAATTCCGCGACCTCAGAGTCATCAGTGGCCTTGGCAACCACCACCACAGGTATTTGTTCTCTTGTGTTTCGTGAGTACGATAAATGTGACAGACAAGTTTGTCGATAATGAATAATGATTTTACACGATTATTGTCTTTTCGTGGAAAAATCATTATAAATATCAAATATACATTAAATCTCTCAAGGAATACTCGCTCTAAAACTCTTAAACTATTATCATGTATCATAAATTTCACAGAAAAAAGACGTTCCTCAAATATTGCGAGACATAGATTCTCTGAAACACGCATCCAGAAATACGTATGATATCATCAGGCAGACAACCACAACAACCACCACAGGCACAACCTTGATTACCCCAACCGCTAGCTAACGCTCGACAACCAGAAAGAGTGCCTGATACAAAACCTGTCGATCAAGAAAAGAATACAAAAAGATACAAGCAAAAGTTGATAGAATGTAAGATTATTTATCTTCAAATTTGTCATTAGTTACCGATATTTTAGTAATAATGCCATTTCATGAACAGTATCGCGGAGATGAAATTGAAGAACAAAGAGAGAAAGAAGAGGCTGAAAGGAAGAAAAGGTTAAGAACGAAACATATACTCAAGCATATTAAATAATTATTGTAAGAGATTAATGATTTTTCAAATCTTTGTTATTAAAAGAGAGGGCAGCAGCAGCAGAAAAAACTCGCCATGCATTAGCAGCGCAGGCGCAAATAAAGCCATTGCGACCATTATACGAATCAAAATCATCTTTGGGACGTAAGAGGACCAAAGAACCAAAAAAAACCATCGACAAAAAGGGAAACTCGCTGAACATCTAATCCTTCTGCAGCAGAGGCGAAGTCTGCTGTAGCGTCGAGCAATCGCACCAATGGAAAAAATAAATGTCATTCAGAGGTAAGTGTTATTAATCAAATGAATTTAACCTATTTAATTCATTCAATGTAAATTTTATCATTATAAATTTTAAGGATGAAGGAATGAACATTGATATTTCAACGGAGTAACGGCGACTATCAGATCTATTGTGATCGGGTTTGTTGTGCCCACTGTCTAAACCATTATCAACCAAGAAAAGCAACAAAAGTTTGTCGCTATGCTCAAGCTCCAAATAGAGGCCGACCGCGATCTCGATCTTCTAATCGAGAATCAATATCACGTGCCCGAAATAGGACGTCTGAAATAGTCAATGCAATAAATCGGTCAATGCTACTGTTGGCGAAAAGAAGAAATTAACAAAAGCATCAACAAATAAAAATCACGATTGGCTATGCTCAATGTAAACAAGCTGATAACTGGTCCGATCGCGATCTCGATCTCCTAATCGAGGACCAATATCACGTGTCCGATCTAGGAAAGAATTTAGGATGGGAGCTTCCTCGTTGAGGTTTTAACGAAGAGACCGAAGTCATGTTCTCAAGGAAACGATCAGACATAAAATTCACGTGTATGGATGAGAATGTAGTTGTAGATGCGTAAAATATAAATATTAAATTATGATGCCACTTTTTTTAAGAATTTTTTGTGATGAGGAAAATAGGAGAAAGAAAATAAAAAAGCGAATAGAATGAATGAAAACGAAAAGAAAAAATGGTGGATGCTATAATCTTCTCTGCCAAAAAGAATTAGGTCTAAAATCAAAAGATTGAACAAATAAAGTTTTATTAAGTGAGGGTCAGTGTTGAATGTGTTCGTTTTTTTCTTGCCTCGATTTTTTTTCGCCGCGTGATCAGATGAACAAAAGAAATGGACGAGAGATGAAGAGGGATTGATAAAGAATATTGAGTGATCATAGTTTTTTCTTTACGTTATTGTTATTCATAAAAACTAGTTGCAATTCTTTAATTATTTCCACATCTGTTTTTTTATCAAGCCAAAGCTTGTCTTTAATGTTAAAATATAAGGATAAATGTTTAAGATAAATGTTAAAATAAAAATTAAAATAAATGTAAAATATTATAATCCTAAATACAATGTGACTAACTTTTCTTTCTAATCATAATATAGGTGAGTGTTGCTGTATGGGTTTGCAATTGCAGGGACCCGATTTTGTCCAATTGTATCGTTGTAGTTTTTCTTTTTAAATAGCTTGGTGATCATTATGTCAATTACGTTAAATCCACCTAATCCATTTCCAAGCCCAATTTTCTTAGATTTTATTGAATTGAGATCCATTTTTTTTGTGGAATTAATTCCCAATTCTTCATCCCTAGATGTTGATCGAGATACTGGTATTAAAATCATATCCACCTCTTTAAATCCATCCAAATCATTTTCAAGGTCAATTTTCTTTGGATATATGTTTGAATTGAAATCTTTATTTTCCTTTATATTGCTTATAGTTTTCGTGGATTTAGTTCTCAATTCTTCACTTATAGAAATCGATTGAAATTCTGGTAACGAATCCATTTCTCTGAATCCAGTTTTAAATCCTTTTTCTGCGATTTGAACACCTCCCTTTCCATCGCAAAAGAATCCAATATTATATATAGAAGTTGAGTTTCTAAAATATTTTATGATTGATAATTCATCTTTTTCAATTCCTTTGCCTTTACAGAGCCAATGGCCATAACTAAGCTGAGTCTCAGGCAAATCCGTATCGGCTGCTTCTTGAACTTTTACTATTACCGCTTTTTTTTGCTCATCAGCTTTTTTATCTTTTAAGCAATCATAATATATATAATATTCAATCCAATCTTTCGCATTGTAATTGTACAAATCTGTATAATAATCATTATTAAACAGAATAGATTTTTATTATTAATTAATTTTTATTAATATATTAATATGATATTAATAATCTCAATTACCTTTATTTATAATGTCCATCCATCCAGTGGGAGCTTGCAATAGCGAAGCAAATTGTTCTCGTTTATCTTCAAGAACTGTATTACAAATTTTTTCAATGTTTATTTTCTCCTGGAATAGGCTCCTTTGTTCAACAATTTCACAAAGAAGTGTCACAAAATTATAAAATAAAGTTAATGAGAAGAAGCTATAAATCTATAAATTATTGCTGATGGTAATTTATAGAATTATTTACCTATATGTTTCATGCTTATAATTATATTGACGTTTGTCATCTCTAAGTTCCTCTGGTACCATATATTGAAATTTATCAATATCACTACAGGTATCTCTGATAACATCTTCTAGAAAATGACTTAAGATGAAACTATCAATTTTTGCTATATATATTGGACCGCCTTTTGTGATTACAATAGTTTGACTGCGAATATCGTGATATAAGCTTTCATCAATTTTTAAATAAATTAATCCTCTAGAGATATCTAAAGTGAGTTGCAGTTGTAAACTCAAAGTTGAATTGGCAGTCCATTCGGTTGTAACTTGGATATCCTCGTATTTTACATATTGGGTAACTTTAAAGTGATTTGTTAATTTATCAACAGCTCTCGCTCCTTCTAAAATATTGGATTCTGTGTTTGAATTGGGATCTTTGTTCTGTGTATTAACTTCATCACTTTTATCCCCTTCGTGTTTCATTTCATTGCCTTTTCTTTGTAGATAAATTAATCCGTAGGCCAAAGCAGCAACCGTCACTGTGCCTACAACATAAATACCATACCGAGGAATCCCTGGGTTCTTTATTTTTTTCACGAAGTAGTGGAGATCAATGCTTGCAATCATTTTCAAAGTTGTAATGATTTTTTTTAAAGAAAAAAAAACTTGATAAGAGTTTTGATAAATAGCTTATTGAATAGAGGTAAATAGCTTCCTTTAAATAAATGAGTAAAGTTATAAATGTTTTCTGGTTGCGGTGAAGGGTGAATAACAAATTCTGTGTTTATTTTTTGTGATAATCAAAAAAATTCTTATTGGCTGGACATGGCTTATTATCAAAAATTTTATAATAATGAGTCATGATTTGCTGTTTTTTATGGACTAATACATGTATTATGTCCTTTGCACTCTTTATGAATTCATGAAGACTTGAGAGAGGAGAAAAAATTTACTCTCATATTTACACGTAATTTATAAATAGACTCAATTTATATTACCTTTCTTGCTTCTTCCTTATTGATTCGCGGCACCCTCATTTTTTACATTCTTCGTGTTTCTTATTCTAAAAAAAAATTAAAAATTTGCGGCTCTAATTCATCCTGCGTACCAAATTCACATACAATAACCAAAGCAAAACCTCCCTAGTATAAAGACAATCGCAAACATATATATCCATATCCATAAATATATATATATACACACGCGCGCACGGATATTTATATTTATTCCCGTAGGAAACTCTATAGTCACGAAAAAGCAAAATGACCGATAGAGGCTTAAATTCGAATAATCGTGATAATGTTGGTGCGAGCCTCACGTTGACTGGTAACTCCTCATTAAAAATGGCAGCACTACAAACAAATGGCTCGAAAATGTTTCTTTGCCCGATTGTCAATTTTTTGACGCTTCTGAATGAGTTTGCTATGATGGTGATGATTTCCTCGAGCGCGGATTCATTGAGTAATAATTGGGGATATGGTCCGGTTTTGTAAATAATGCAACTTATTTAATCACTAAGCCAATAGTTTTATATCTGGCGTGAGTATTCTTTTTTTAGTGACTGTATTTTCATTGAGTTTTTTTTTATCTATTTTTTAAATATTTACGATGTAGAGCTGTTTACGATCCGTATCGAAAATACAGACATATACACTTCTTTATAATTATTATTCGTGTGGTAGAATTACTTGTGATTGTGATTATTAATCTTCATAGCATTTTTGTATGTGGAGGAGTATACAATGGAATTTGTCAAAAGGAATATGTAATCTACCAAATACGAGATGGATTAGCGCCAGTATTTCGTTTTTACTATGTTTTGTCCGAGGAAATATTCTACATTAAACTATTTAGCACATTGAAAAATATTCATGCATCCAAAGCTTCAAATAATAACATTTTACGTTATCACACTTACCAAACAATCCTCTTCACATTGGATCTGAAATCTATAAACTCTCTTTTATAGCAATAAATGAACTCAAGAAATAACTAGCTAATCTTATATTAAAAGAGTTCATTTATCCTAGTATTTCATCATTGGAGCATCAGTATTATTTGTATACAAAAAAGAAAATACATTGAGATTATATATTGATTACAAAGCTTTGAACAAAATTACCATCAAGAATTACTATTCACTACCTCAAATTGATGAACTTATAGATAGACTTGTAAATTCAAAGCATTTCTTAAAATTAGATTTATATTTAGAATATTATCAAATTCTCATAGCTAAGAAAAATATACTATCTTCAAAACTTACTATAGTCACTATGAAATCTTGATCTTACTATTTAATCTCATCAATATATTTACCATTTTTATGATCTTAATAAATAACATATTTCATAATTATCTAAATATATTTGTAATTATATATTTAGATAATATCTTAATATATAATAATAAAATAAGACAAAGAAAGAATATATTTAATATCCTTAGTAGATAATATTTTAGTTGATCAAAAAAAATAGCTTCTATTAGAGATTAGTTTACACTTATAAATATATCAGAATTTTACTTATTTCTTGAATTAGTAAGTTACTACAAAAAGTTTGTTAAAGAATACTCAGCTATAATCTTATTACTTATAGTATTCCTTTATGAAAATAAAGAGTATAAATGATTTATATAAATATAATAAGTATTTAAAAATCATAAATAATATTTTACTTTAGCATCAGTTTATTATTATCAGATTCAAAATTACTATTCATAATTATTATTAATGCTTCTAATTTTATTATTGGAGTTATATTAAGTCAAAATCAAGACAAGAATGATTAATTTATAGCATTTAAATCAAGAAAATTATTACTAGCTAAATAAAATTATCCAGCTTATAAAAAAAGTTATTAGTAATTATATATATTATTAAACTTTGAAAATTATATTTAAAAGAATAAAAGTTTATTATAATTATTGATTATATCTTTCTTGAATATATTAAAATTTAATATAACTTTTTAAAAAATAAGTTTAATAACTAGAAATTCTATAAGCTAGTAATTTTAAAGTAAAATATAAATCTAATAAGATAATATTCTTATTAATAAAGATGACTTCTCAACTATTATAATATAATGACAAATAAGTATCATTTAGTTATAACTAGTTATAACTTATAAAATTTTGAAGTTATAATATATTATAACTGATAATAAATAAGTATCATATTATTATAGTAAATTGGTAAGTGAATTTTTACTTAAATTCATCTTAATAATATAGAATTAGGAAAGACTAAAATAATTAAAGATAACAAGAGGAAAATTAGACTATAACTTTCAATAATGATAAAGATTTCTAAGATCTGTATCAATATCTACAGATATTATCTCAAAAAGGATAATTAAATAAGAAAAGAAATAAATAAATCAGAAAAATTATAAAAATTAACTGAGTAAAGCCACTAGTAATCAATATAATTCAAGATTTGAATTGATTAAATAGTAAAATTATTAATCAAAGAAGGCTATAACTAAATAAAAAATAAAAACTAAAGTACAAAAACTAAATAACTAAAAATAAATAAAGAGTATAGCTTATTTATAGTAAAGATCTTCTACTCTTAAAAATAATTAAATAAAAGTATAACTTATTTATAGTAGAGATTTTTTACTCTCATAATAATATCAAATAAATCAAAAATTAATATAATGTTATAATCCAAAATCAAAATTAACTTTGTATAGTCAAAGGAATAAAACAAAGTAAAAGAAAGAGTATTAGTATAATTCAAAAAGAAATCTTTTAAAAAGATTACTATTATTATAATAATAAGCTTTTAAATTATATTTTCTAAATAATTTAATCCAAAACTATTTATTTCAAGCTGGAATAGCAGATTCTTTTATATATTTTTTGAATACATAAATTATATAGTATTATTAGTTAATATTATTTAATATACAAAATATAATTAAAGTATTATAATATAAATAATTATAAATAAGTTACGTTAAAGTATATTAAAAGATATCAAAGAATATTAAAGAATATTAAAGTATATAAAAGAATATTGAAAAATATAAAAAGATATTAAAAGATATGAAAAGATATTAAAAGATATAAAAAGACATTAAAAGATATAAAAAAAATATTAAAAGATATAGAAAAATATGAAAGAATATCAAAGAATGTCAAAGAATAAGAAAAGATATTTGAGATTATTATCTAAGTATAGCTGTTTTATCAAAATTAAAAATGATCTTTTACTATATTATTTTACTATGTATATAAATATTATATTATAAATAATAATAAAATATAGATCCCAAATATAATATAATGTTTAAAAATAGAAGTATAATAATAAATATAGTAATAAATAATAAAAAAAATAGGAATATTTATAAAATTATAAGAGAATGTTATTTGTATAACTAGAAAAGAATTAAGAAATTAAGAAATTTTATGTCACTATAATAATAATATACTTGTTATATTATTTCTAATTATTAATATACTCTTTTATTAATTACATTTAATAAATATTATTATTATTATTATTAATTTTATTAATAAAAAAGAATTAATTAACAAATATAAAAAAGATAAATATTTATAAAAATATTAGAAGTATTAAAAAATTTTAATAATATAATATTAAAATAACAAGTAAAACTAAATATTTTAAATTAAAAGAAGATTTATTTTATTTTAAAAATATTAATTACATAACTATTTCAGAAAATAAAATAAAGATTTTATTTAAATTTCATTATATATGAATTATTAGATATATTAAAATTAATAAAATATATATTATTATATCTTAATAATTCAAAATATATAAAAGTATTTACAAATATATTACTAATTATAATGTTACGGCGAATCGGTAAGTGGGTTTTCACTTTGATTCACCCTAACGATATAGGGTTGGGAGAGACTGAAATAATA